TACGTCGGACAACCCCACGGCGATGTCATTTATGGAGGTTGTCTCTTCAGTGTTCAGCATTGAGAGGGGCATGTCTGATGCTCACGTCTACCACATTTCGCCGAGCATTGTGATCCTGTCCGACAAGAACTGACAGGATTAGAAAAGATGGGTGGGTGGGGCGACGACGACGACGACGACGACGGTGACGGCGACGGTGACGACGGCGATGTCGACGACGGCGATTGCGACGACGGCGACGACGACGACGACAACGACGACGACGACGGCTACGACGGCGGCAGCGGCGGCGACGAAGACGGCGACGGCGACGCCGACGGCGACGACGTTGGCGGCGGCGGCGGCGCCGACCTCTTTGAGTCCTCCGACGACGACGGCGGCGGCGGCGACGACGACGACCTCTGGAGCTCTCGTGGAGCACCGCAGTACCACGCCACACGCCACACCCACAGCACCGCACCACACCCAAAAGGGGGGGCCCATCGTGAGTAGGGGGGGTGGGCGCGATGCCATCAGCATGGTGGGGTGGTGGGGGCCTAGACCTGGATCGCGTATGTAAATTTTTACATACAGACATATATATATACACACATGTATTCACCAACTGCTATTTGGGCAATCGTTCCCGGCTGGCTTGCTTGTGCGCAGACCGCACGGGGGCCTGCCTGTCGGTCGCTGCGCACTCATACCCACATTACTTATGTGGAGAAACGGTCTCGCGACACAGTCCAGAGCGCACACAAGATGTGGTTTCTCTATACACGTTGCCAGGACCCCAAACATTAATTTCAGCAGGTCGCACTACGGACCCCAAGGGTGTTCCAGAGTCGCTCTTGCACTCTTCACTGGCAGTTTGCGGTACGAGTTCCTGAGGTACGGCTAGAACCTGAGCGCGCGCGAAGCGCGCGTGGTTCCAGGATATGCGTATACATTCACACATATATATACATATATATATATATATGTATATATCATATATATAAATATATATGTATATATACACACATATATAGATATACACATCACATCAAAGCTCACTTTGCCAGGCACCGCTGGGGCCGGAAGCGACATCGACGTTGCTGTGGAGATCGACCGCGAGGACCTCGTGGCGGCGCTCGGACCGCAGGCCACCTCGCGGGCGCTGTGCGCCGGAGCCCTGCGCGCCATCAAGGTGCGCCGGGTTGGGGGCCGGAAGAGGCGACCTCTCGGTCTCGCGCTAGTTGCGCAGGCCGTCGGCTCCAAGGGTGGTTCGTTTGTGTGGCATGTGTCGGCGACGACGTGCACAGGGTGTGGCTACGCCGGGGAGGAGGAGGAGGAGGAGGAGGAGGAGGAGGAGGAGGAGGAGGAGAGTCCTCCTCCCCCCCCTCCTCTTCGTCCCCCTCCTCCACCTCCTCCCCCTCTTCCTCCCCTCCCCCTTCCTCTCCCCCCTCCCCCTCTTCTCTCCTCCTCCTCCTCCTCCTCCTCCTCCTCCTCCTCCTCCTCCTCCTCCGCTAGGAGGGGTGGGCTCAGGCGGGGATGCATCGACAATCAATCGCCCATGGATCGTTGACGGGGACCAGATGCCCACCCCGCCCGGGACAGCGCGGATTTGCCACTGAGATCCTACCGCCCATGTATCGGCAATGGATCGCCGATTCCAGGTCGATGTTTCTCCACCACTTACCCGGCTCCCCGAACGTTTCCCCGCATTGTCATGATCCTAATCATCGGGCAGCGTTAGACGGGTGGGCTCAGGCGGGGATGCATCGACCATCACTCGCCCATTTGGTCGCCCATGGGTGCCCGATACCCCGCCCCGCCCAGGACCGTGCGGATTTGCTATCGGAATCCCATCGCCGACTGATCGGTAATGGATGGCGGATTCCAAGTTGATGTTCCCCCCCATTCTCCAGGGCCCCCTAACGTTTCCCCACATCCTCCTTCTCGTAATCATCAGAGGAGCGAGAGGTCATGATCATGATGCGCTCCAGGATTCCCGATATTTCCAGGATCTCTGGGATGTCCTAATGCTCCACACCCTTTGCAGAAACGATGGCCGCCAGATTCTGTCCTTGAGATTCTTCGAACGTACCCTAAGCCATTCGCACCATGACATCATCCTCGCCGTGCGTTTGACGTGGTTGGTGCAAGGAGGTAGCATATTCTGTTTGTGGAAGTCCTCGCCAGGCGGCGTGGCAGGTTGTGCTTGTAACCTGTATATCCATTTTCCCTTGCGGTCCTCGCCCCCTCCTCGCTTGAGGTGCACGTCGCTGTGCCGTGCTGTCGGTGGCAAACCAAATGGCACTATGACATCATCCTCGTCCCAATCTCAGTGCTGCCACCCCGTGCAGCGTGGCTGAGAGGCCTGCGCTGGCGGAAGCGGCAGCGAGGGAGTCGCGCTGGTGCTGCATGCAGACGCAGAGAGTTGTGGGGCCCGAGACGTGCAAGACCTGTGACTGGGTGTCAGAGTCGAGCCCCTGCCTGCGCCTCCCTGCCCAGGTGGCCGCAGAGGCATCCGGCGAGTGGGCGCCGCGCGGCGCCGCGCTGGCGGCCGCCGTGCCGGCGTCGTCGCTCCTGCACGTGGCCTCGGGGTGCAGGCCGGAGCTCCTTGCCCTCGCAGACTCGCTGGGCAGCCGGAGGGCCCCCCCCTGGGCAGCCCGCGGGGACAGCCTCCTCCTCCTTCTCCCCCCCTCCTCCTCCTCCTCCTCCTCCCTCCTCCTCCTCCTCCTCCTCCTTCTCCTCCTCCTCCTCCGCGGGACAGCCGCGGGGACACAACCGCGGGACCGCCGCGCGACAGCCACGCGGCAGCCGCGCGGCAGCCAAGGAGACAGCCGCGCGGCTGCCGCGATGGGGCGAAAATCCAGCTGCCTGCGGCAAGTCCCGCCAAAGTGCCAGCCCAGCATTTCAGGTGGCGACTATTCGAGGGGGTACGGGTGGCCGTCACGTGTGATACCTTGTGTTTCCAGTCTTGGGAGACCTGTGATGAGTTCGATGAGGCTATGAGGATGACGAGGATACTGTTGATGACGATGATGATGATGATGATGATGATGATGATGATGATGATGATGATGATGATGATGGTGATGATGATGATGATAATGATGCTGATGCTGATGCTGATGATGATGATGATGATGCTGGTGATGACGGTGTTGATGAATCTGCTGATGATAATGATGATTATGATGATGATGATGCTGATTTTGATGATGATCACGGATCTGATAAGGTTGATGATGATGGTCATGTTGATGGTGATGATGGCGATGATGATGATGATGATGATGATGATGATGATGATGATGATGATGATGATGATGATGATAATCATGATGATGCGGATGATGATAGTGATGATGATGAAGATGAAGATGGTGATGATGATGGTGATGATGATGATGGTGATGCTGATGATGATGTTGATGTTGATGATGATGTTGATGATGATGGTTGTGTTGTTGGTGATGCTGATTATAATGATGATGATGATGATGATGATGATGCTGATGCTGATGCTGATGCTGATGATGCTGATGATGCTGCTCATCATGCTGATGGTGATGATGGTGATGATGATGATGATGATGATGATGATGATGATGATGATGACCATCACGATGACGATGACGATGGAAATGGTGGTGGTGGTGATAAATGTGGATGGCCTTGGCATTCTTGGCAGACCTTTGCATTCTCCAACGCTTCAACGTGCCAGGAAGCACGATGGCGGATCTGGGTAAACCACCCTCGCGTACATGCGCCTCGCCCGCACGCGCGTCTCAACGTAGATTCCTTCCTGGGAGCATCCCGTTCCACTTCGATCTCACCTCGCAGTTTCCAACACACATGCGTGCGGGTGTGCGGCTACGCCAATGCATTGCCAGATGCGCACGTACACGCATGACACGGAGGCACGCCTTGTATATTGCATGTGCGTATATGTGGGTACATGTTTTTTCCGTGCACATTCGTGGGCGCACGCGTATCTACATGTATACACATATGTATAAACATATCGGAGGTTGGGGGGTGAGATCGAAGTGGAACGGAGAGCCCCCCCACCGGGAAATCGATTTCGGTTTCGTGTTCGTGCATGCCGTGCGTGCGGGCGAAACGAAGCTGCGTGGGCGGGCGAGAGGAAAGTCTCCTGTGGCTGAGGCGCGGCCGGACCAAATGTTTGGCGACCCGGCGTTCGGGGCCGCGCGGTGTCCCACCGCTGTCCTGCCGGTGTCCCGTCGGTGTTTCGTCGGTGTCCTGCGGTGTCCCGTCGGTGTCCCGTCGTGAGATCGATAGTGAGATCAATCGTGAGATCGATAGTGAGATTGATAGTGAGATCGATAGTGAGATCGATTGTCAGATGGATAGTGAGATCGATAGTGATATCGATTGTGAGATCGGTCGTGAGATCGATAGTGAGATCGATACTGATATCGATTGTGAGATTGATCGAGTGAGATCGATCGAGTGAGATCTATAGTGAGATCGATCGCCGCCGTTGGGCAGGTTCCCGGGGGAAGGGGATGGTACCAAGGCTCCCAATAGCGAAGGGTGACGTAAACAATTCGATACCAAAGCTCCCAAGAGCGAGCGGCAACGCAACAATCTCCACTGGCATCCTCAGAACAACAATCACCACTGTTGCCCATTGCTGGGCCCCTCCCCCCAACCTCCTTGTCACCCGCAGGGTGGTCGTATAGGTGTATATATAGTGATAAGTAGATACCCACATGCGTGTACAGTGAAAATGCGAATGTGCGTCCAGTTGTGCTTCGGCGCGATTTCGCCACCGCGCTCGGGGGACCCCTTCCTGCCGGGAAAGTCAAAAGCGCATGAACTTAGTTGGAGCAAGCCATGCATCTTTGGATGGATGTTTTCTAGGGCCCCCTAGCCAACACAGGAAGCGACAGTATCAGAATACGCATGCAAGGAGGACTGACACATGCCAACCGTTGCAAGCGCACATGTTCTCATAACGCATGGCCCGCATGGCAACCTCCTCGTGCGTGTCGCCGTCAGTGCAGCTGCTTCGGCTAGCGCGCTGCAGGGCAGAGAGTCCTGCGGAGCACAACTGGCGCGGCATCCGAGGTGCGATTGTGGGCCTCCCTGCCGCCGTGCTCGCGCCTCGTGCTCCTTCCCCTCGCCCTCCCTGCGTCACAGTTCGCGTGCCCACCTTGTTGCGCTGTCTGCCTCCCTGTTTCCTCCTCCTTTGCCTCCTCGTCCTCTCTCCTCCTCCTCCTCCTCCTCCTCCTCCTCCTCCTCCTCCTCCACCTCCTCCTCCACCTCCTCTTCCTCATCCTTCTCCTCTTCCTTCTCCTCCTCCTTCTCCTCCTCCTCCTCCTCCTGTCTGAGAGTGCGCTGGATCATGCGTGTGCTGTTGCCCTCGGCCGGTCCTCTGAGAGAAAGGGCCGGCGTGCCACTGGCGCGCCCTCCTCCCCTGGCAGGTGCGCGTGCCCTTCCCGGCTACGGCAGCTCCGTCCGTGCGTTCCTGCCCTGCGGCGCCGCTCCCTCCCGCGACGCTCCGCCGAGCGGGCGCCTGCGCGCGCGCACGCGTGGGGCACGCCTCCCCGCCGCCGGGCCGCGCCGCGCCCGCGCGGCTCGGGAGGGGCAGAGAGTGCCAGCGGCGCAGGCGTCGCGCCCTCGCCTGCGCGCACCGCCCGCGAGTGGCGCGCGCGCGCCGCGCCCGAGGCTCGCGCGCGCCTCCGCTGCGCGGGGGCACCGCGCGTTTTGAGCAGTCGGCTCGCGCCGAGAGTCAGAGCGTGAATTACCTACCCCGCTTTCGCTTCCAGGCAAAACCAAGTCATACCACGCGCCTCCTCGTCAAGCGGCCTGACCAGTACAGGCCGTAGTTTGGCATCGCCTGGTATCTCTTGGAAGCGAGGGTGGTCAAACGCGAGGTAGGTTTGTTTGCCCCCAAGAGAGGGCCGCCCGGCCCGCGCGAGGCGGAGGCGTGCCGTGCGGTGCTGTGCTGCGAGCGGCGCAAGCGGCGGCGCTGCCGGCCGCGGCCCGCAGCCCGGGCCGTGCGCCCGCGGCCGCGCAGCCCGGGCCGCTCGCGGCGACGCCGCGCGCGGAGCAGCCCCTCGGCGCGCCGACGATGTCGGTCCAACTCCCCCTAAGAAGGGCCGCCAGCCACCAGACTTCCGTCGGGCCTGCCCCTCTGCAGGAGGAGCATGCAAGAATAGTCTCAAAGTAGTCTGGGGACGACTCTTTGTTTCTAGTTTTTTTTCGTTTTTCTGCTGCTTCTCATTTGTCGTCCAACATCCGCCTGCAGGGGGACATGCTCGGCCTCAAACCTGACCGCCCCACGCCAGCCCGAAGGCCCCTCTGTGCCCTCCATCCTCCGGGGCGGGGGCGGGGTCGGGGGGCGTCGGGGACCGCTGGAAGTGCACGCGTGGAGCCCCTCCCCCGCCCCACCGCCACCACCCGAGACGTCGGGCCCTCGTGTTGGGTTGGGGTGGTCCCGTAGGCAGTCAGCGCCTCCCTCCCTCCCTCCCTCCCTCCCCTCCTCCTCCTCCTCCTCCTCCTCCCCTCCTCCTCCTCCTCCTCCTCCTCATCCTCCTCCTCCTCCTCCTCCTCCTCCTCATCCTCCTCCCCCTTCCTCCTCCGACCTCCTCCTCCTCCTTCCTCCTCCGAGCGGCGGCGGCAGCGCCGAGCGGTGGCGGCGTCGCCGCTCGCGGGCGGCGGCGGCGGCCGCCGCGGCGGGCGCCCCGCCAGGGTGGACCTTGTGGTCAACGGGCCGCGCGGCGTGCGGCAGGCCCTCGCCCTGCGCGGCGAGGCCGCGGGCGCGCCGGCGCCGCTGGTGGCGGTCTGGCCCCGCGCGCGGCGGCTGCCGGGCGGAGCGAGAAATCGTTAGGACGAGGAGGACGGAGAAGGACAGGAGGAGGAGGAGGAGGAGGAGGAGGAGGAGGAGGAGGAGGAGGACGAGGACGAGGACGAGGACGAGGACGAGGACGAGGAGGAGGAGGAGGAGGAGGAGGACGACGACGAGGAGGAGCAGGGGGAGGGGGAGCAGGAGCAGGAGGAGGGCGAGAAGTCACGAGAATGAGGCGGTCCGAGATGCGGAAGAGGAGGAGATATACCGATACCGCTGCCCCAGCCTCGTCGCCAGGGTTGGAGTCGCCTCGCAGTGCTGGTCAAAGCGCACCTGTGAGGGAGAGATCTGGGGAGGAGCGGTGCAGTTTCAATTCTGTCGCCCCAGAGATGTCCAATACCTCGGAAGAGGGCCGCTGGATACTCGTGGAAATCGAAGGACGCATGCCTGGCCAATCTTATCGTCGCCTCATTCTCGTCCTGTGAGAGTTCTGGGCGTCGGGCTCAACCATCGGGGGCGTACATTCCGGAGGAGGGCCTGTCGAGAAGATGGGATCCGCGCCGCCGACTCATCGGAGATGCGGCTCGATGTGCCCGATTGTTGTTCCACGCCCGCGGCGCCGATGCATCGACCCCGTGGCCATCGGCGATGCACCGCGAGGCATCCCCCGACCCCCTCTGCTCGGACTCCCCAGTGGCTGGCCAGCAGGGGCTGGCGGGTCCACCGTCGGGGGAGCGCCAAGGGGCTCCGCCTCGGAGGAGGGCCCGTGGGAACGAGGGGCGGCTCCTCCCCCGCGGCTCCCTCGCCTCTTGGGTCGGGGGCGGCAGAGACGGGGGTGATGACTAGGGGGGGGTGGATATCATGGCGGGGGCCATGATACTTCCCCAAATTGTATGGCGCCTCCTCTCATTTCATTACGTCCCTGGCCCCCCCGCTGGGCCGCGCACGTGCCGCCGGTCATGAGTTGCACCCCCCCCCCCTCTTGGACACCCCCCTCTAGAGCGGCTCCCTCCCCTGCCAGCGCCTCCAGAGCCGACCGCCCCGCGGGGCCTTGCCAGAGGCGGCCTTCGGGCCGGACGAGAGGGGGGATTGGGAAAGGGGGGGTTACTCGGGGGTGGACAGAACCCCCAACAGTGACACGTCGATTAGTGAATTGTCCGTTTTCGGTTCTCGAGAGGGCGCCGTGGCCGTTGTTTTCCAGGCTTGCGCCCGCCAGGCTTGGGCCTCAGGTCGTTTTCACTAAACCACGTTTTACTAAAGGGGGGTCTGTCCATCCCCGAGTTACGAAATCAGCTGCGTGCAGCAGGATTCGGCCCCACCGAGGGGCCCATTCCTCGTTACATGGCCGCCTCCGGCGCCGGGAGGCGCCGGGAAAGTCAGCTAAGTGGGCTGATTCTCAAACGCCTCCTTTGCTATCCCCCACTTTCGCCCGGCCCGAGAAATGGGGCGAATAGTCCAGGGGGGAGCGATACATGTACCCACCGGTCCAACGGGTTGACAAAAATCAGGACGGAGGTTTTTCGCAAGTTTCGGCCCCCAGGGGCCCTCGCCGGGCCTCGGGACCGTCAAGAAACGACTCGGGATGAAAAACACAGTCCTTTGGAATGGGTCGAGACTTCCGGGGACCCCGTCTTGAAAAATCACGACATCGGATCTCTGGGTATCCAGGGGCGCCGACGATCCATGTCTTCGGCGAGGCTCCCGGGCGAATACGTGTAATGCCCGCCCCTGGGCTATTCGCCCTCATCGTCGCCGCAGAGTCGGAGCCCAAGATTAAGTCGGGCACGTCCCTCTACAGGAGGAATGTTCAAACACAGTCAAACTATAGTCTTGGGACGATGTTTGTTTACTAGTTTTGGCACTGTTTGAAAAATTGTCTGACTATTGTTTTTTTGTTTTGTTTTCATTTTCATCCAACATCTGCCTGTAGGGGGACATTCCCGACCTAAGTATAGGGGGGGATGCATCGACTCCCAATCGCCCATTGATCGCCGATATTGGCCCAATAGCCCCAACCTGCCCAGGAACGTGCGGATTCACAATCGGGGGCCTATCGCCGATCTGTCAGCAAAGGATCGCGCCGATTCCAGGTCGATGTTTCCCCCCCTATGCCTATCCCCCCCTATGCCTATCCCCCCTATCGTTGCCCCTCAAAGAGACCAGGGTCAATGCAAACCGGGTTCAGCCAGAGCGCCGGATCTGGCTGGATCCTGCAGGGCCAGCCAGGGGCGCATTGACCCGGGCCTGGGGGCAGGTTCCCGCAGGATCCTGCAGGAGCTGGCAGGGTCCTGCAACGCCTGACTGACCCGGGTCTCGATTGACCCGGGTCAGTACATCCCCGACCCTGGGCCCAGAATTCGGTACAGTCGAGATGTCTACGGAAAGAACGGATACGATTTCCGATTCATTTGGAACGGGCCTCGCTGTCGGTGTCGCCGCGGACGTTGTGCTTTTGGGGCTGAAGGCCGCCTACCCAACAGCGGCCGCTGTCGGTTTTGGACAGCACGTGCTGGGGGGCATCATGCGCAGGTTTGTCGGTACCCACTTCGTTTGGGAGCGAAGAGCGGTGTAACATTACTTGTTCCGTCGTCGGGGAGACGCTTGCCCCCCGAGCGGTTGCAAAGTTTATACCCCTGCGACGTGGCACCGTAGAGGTGTGAACTTTCCGTAGGGGCAAAAACTTTCCGCCGCCCGGGGGGCAGGCGCCCCCGACGGCGGAAAAGTTTATGTTATGCCCTTCGCCCTCTGCGTCCAAAGGGATCCGCTGCGGAGGGGCCCCCGGGAAGGCCCCGTGGCCCTCCGAGGAGGCCCCCCCTCTGTGCGGAGGGCGGCCGCCCCGACCGCGCCCCGCCCGCTCCCCGCGCGACGCCGGGAGCCTTCGGGGCCAGGGTCCTCCCCACCGGCAGCACCCCTCCTGGCCCTCCGTCCGAGGCCTAGAGCTTGACATCAAGCTTGCCATCAAAGTCGGTGTGCCTCCACCAAGGGAGGATTCGGGTCGGGCGAAAGGGGGGGATTTGGAAAGGGGGGGTTACGAAATTTGCTGCATGCAGCTGATTTTGGCCTCACCGAGGAGCCCATTCCTCGATACATAGCCGCCTCCGGCGCCGGGAGGCGCCGGGAAAATCAGCTACGTGAGCTGATTCTCAAACCCCCCCTTTGCTATCCCCCCCTTTCGCCCGACCCGAAGGATGATCCCGATCTCGGTGATGGTTGTAAGATTCGGACCTGTAAGGTGGTCGACAGATCACCACCAGCGCCAGAATCTGGGATCCGCTTCCCACGGTCGAGGCCGACCTTCGGTGTTGAGGTTGGTGCCCATGTCCGCGCCTCCCACTCTGGTTTCGTCCAGGCATCCCAGGCGTCAGAGGAGGAAGAGGTACCGATGCTGCTGACCTTGCCTCGTCGTCCCCTTTTGGGGGGCCTCCCAGGACGCCTCAAAAAAGGGGACGACGCCACCGCTGGATCCGCCTCGACATTCTGGTCAGAACGCACCCTGGGAGAGGTCTGGGGGGCAGCGGCATCGGTGCCCCTTGGTTTCCCCAGGAAGGGCCCGCCGTCCGCCCTCCGCCAGGGATTGCCTGCTGGGCAGGGGTCCCCCCGCCGGACCTGGTGGGACAAGGTGGGGTCGCGGCGCTGCCTCGCTTGTTCTCGGCGTGCGCTTCCAAGGGAGCAGCGGCATCGGTGCTTCTTGTTTTCCCCGCCCCTGGGGGTGCGAGCAGATGGGGTCGGAAGGTGGGACCTCGCCTTACGTCGGGCCTGTCCCTCGACAGGAAAATATTCAAAAATAGACTAATAGTAGCCTGGGGACGATCTTTTTCGTTATTTTCAAGTATTTGGGCATATGTTTGGAGTATTTGTTATGTTTCGTCGAAAGCCCGCCCGTAGGGGGACAATTCCGACCTAAACCTCGCGGCACCTCGCCGACGCCTCGGCGATGCGGCTCGGACGCGGTGCCCGGAGTCCTCCCACGCCGACGATGGCGGCGCAGCGGCGACGCAGCAGCGGTGCTACGCGGTCCCCCCTCGACGTCCTCCCCCGACGGCGCGCTTGCTCCCATGGGGGGCGCGTAGACGGAGGCTCCTTCTCTTCTGTTTGGGGCTCTGCTTTGACCTCTGCCTCAACGGCCGCAACGTCGAACCAGCGAGTGCGACGAGGACGACGTGTGATGTGTTACCAGCTCGATTTCGCGCGCGTCCCGGGTCCGCCCCCCTGGCCTCGAGGGGAAGCGTCGGGGGGGGCTGGCCCCGGGCGGGAAGCGTCGGCCCACGACGGTCCACGCGCGTCGCCGCTGGGGTGCCCCAGGGGTGCCCCACCCCGCCCAGGACCGTGCAGTGTCCCCTGTCGGGCGATCGAAGACATGGATCGAGGGGGCGCGGATTGGCGACGGGTCCCGTTTTTGTGGGAAATCGCGGAGTTCCGCCGACGAGCGAGGCGGCGCCGGCCGCATTTTGGCGACCGCGCGCCAAATCCAAGGATCGATAATCCATGTTTGCGCGCACCCTTTATCAGCGAGGTATGGGCGATTGCAAGTTAATGCGTCTCCTTCCCCCCCCCCCGAGCCAGTGTCGATCTCCACCCCCCTCGCCTCGTCCTGTGCCCCACTCCCCTGGGGGCACTCTGGTGACTGCAGTCCGCCAGAGGCTTGCGCTGCTCGTGAAGCTGTGGGCGCGGCGGCGGCGGCTCTACGGCCGGGCACAGGCAGAGGGGGGGGCATGGGGTCTGTCTGGCACGAGGGGCAACAGCAACGCTAGCATTGGAGAGGTACCCCAGAGATCTGCGTGCTTGCGCCGTCCACCTCGCAATACTTCTCGATTTGATCATTGCGAAGGCCCTACGGCCAGTGCCGCCGACCCTGAAGACGGCGACGACGAGGACGACGAGGATGTTGAGGAGCAGGTGGCGGAGGACGCTGGAGAGCAGGAGGGGCGAGGAGGAGGAGGAGGAGGAGGAGGATGTGCGAGGGGGGAGGAGGAGGACGAGGAGGGGAGGGAGAGGGACGAGGAGGGGAAGACGAGGAGGCAGTGGTATCGGGTCCTGAGCGCAGGGCCTCATGTTCCACAGGTATTGGGCCTTCCTCCCCGGCTGTGCGCCGAGTGTGCTGGAGTCCTCCTCCTCGGGGGCTGCCCCGCCGCACCGCCAGGACGTTTCCCTGCTTTTGCCGCCTCGCTGCGTGGCGGCCCGCATTCAGACGGGAAAAACGCACAGACACAGTTCATCCTCGATTCCGCGGAGAATATGAGACGATGTGGGAAGTGGGGGGGAAAACGAAGACCCAGAAAATTGGATAAATATAAATGGGGCATTCTTGGATTTGTGTGTGTATTTCTCTGTGCGTCCCAAGGCCCCGTCACTCATTCCTTTTTCCGTGACGCACCGCGCAAATGTGTAGCCGTCCTGTGGGACGGGTCGGTTGCCGTTCCGTTCCGCTCCGCTCTTCTGCGGGGGTTGATGCCAGAGGCTCTGGCTCTCCGTCGGGGCGCCGCCCTGGTGCCTAGCAGCCTTGAGGACGGATCCCGCACGCTGGAAGGCCCTTAGGTCTCAGAGCCAATAGGATGACTCTGGGGGCCGAGGCCCAGGACGGCGTGGGGACGAACGCTGGTGACTGCAGCAGAGGCCCGGAGGTCCGTAAGTTCGATCCGACTGCTCTGGGAGGAGTTTCGCAAGGGTGGGTGCGGCACGGCCCACGCCCCATGGCCAACGGGGATCCTGGCAACTCCTGGGTTGGAGGGATGATGATGCAGGGATGGAAGAGCCAGAGAACAAGTTATGCCTGATGAGATCGAGAAGCTGACGCTCATGGGTGGGCCTTCCTTTTTTCTCTTTTCGTCTAGTTGCAGCCAGCGGCCTACGGTGGATCTGGATCAGCGAGCGCTTGAGCTTTTGAAAACGAAGAGAACACCCGCCGTCAGGCGCCTCCAGCTCAGGACCCCGGTCCTTTGTTTCGGATTCCCCCCCGAACCTGCAGACCTCCCGCTTCCGTCGAAAGCCTAACCACACCGCCTCGATTATGTCCAAATGTCCAAGTGCATCCCAGACGGCGCGGAACGATTCCGTCCCACACCCATCGGCCTTGTCTCGAAACCGCTTCGGATCGTCAGCTCACCGTTACATCTGCGTGGCAGACCGTCTGTTTCCCGCATTCTTGCTGTTGGCCGCGATGCCTGGCGGCGGAGATAGTCAGAAGAGGAGTATTGGAGGTACTTCTCCACGTGATGCTGATGAGCTTAGCATGTCTGACGCTATAGGTAGGAAGTGCAGATTAGCAACACCATGGTCGTGGTAAGCAACAACCCTCGAGGGAGAACTGTCGCTGGCATCGCTCGTGGACACAGCCAAGGAGGAGATGCTCGCTGCCACCCAGGCTCTTGAGGACAGCATGCTGCAGCATTTCGTAATGTCTCGGCCTCTGGTGATGTCATCATCTCGAAGCGGTGTGAAGCGAGGCTCGCCGTGGTGGAGCAGAAGTTCAGGCTTCGGACCTCCGCATCGAGAAGTTGGAAGAGGTGGAGCATCTTGTCTGCGTCTTGGGAGACGTCACGAAAAGGCGCCTCCGAGAAGCGTGTGGGAATGGTCACGCCTGGCTTCATGCGTGACGTGGATCCGACCATCTGGATCATCCGCTCGAAGGGCGCGCTGGTCAGGCAGACGGTCTTATCGTCCCTTCTCACATGGCTTAGTCGAAGAAATTTGGACGGAGACGGTTTAGAGATTCAGGGTGACCCCATCGGGAAGCGCTTTGTTTTTTTGCAGATATTCTGGAACCAAGCATCTGCTGCACGAAAAACTGCACAAGCGTTCGGCGCACTTCGTATCGCAGATGGGGCCTGGGGGAGTTTACGAGGTGCTGATGTGTCTGGAGTGGGGCATGAGAGAAACATGCCGGCTTACAACAACCATGGCACATCAAACGTTCACTGGCGTTTAAATCCATTAAGCGACGCCTCACAGAGTCGGTTCCCAATTATCGATTCTTGACAGACGAGCAGAAGGGCGAGGCCAATTCGTCTTGTACGCCGCCGGTGTCCGTGGTTCCGTTGCCTGGCGAGGCCGTCCTTGAGATAATTACGGTGTTGCGTCAAGCACCCTGTGGTGTGCGGCAGCCAGAAGTACGAGCTTGAAGTACGAGCTTGAGGACGACGACGATGTTGACGACGACGGTGATGATGAAGCTGATGATTCCGATGGTGATGATGATGCTGATGATGCTGATGCTGATGCTGATGCTGATAATGCATGATCATGGTGATGATGATGACGATGATGATGATGATGATGATGCTGATGCTGATGACGATGATGATGATGATGATGATGATGATGATGATGATGATGAAGCTGATGATGATGATGTTGATGATGATGATGCTGATGATGATGATGTTGGTGATGATGATGATGATGCTGATGATTAACATGATGGCGATGATGATAATGATGATGCTGCTGATGATGAATATGATGCCGCTGATGATGCTGATTATGCTGCTGCTGCTGCTGCTGCTGCTGATGATGATGATGATGATGATGATGATGATGATGATGCGGCTGCTGATGCTGATGCTGATGCTGATGCGGCTGCTGCTGATGATGCTGACGGTGATGGTGATGGTGAAGGTGAAGGTGAGTGGGCGGAGGCGGAGGAGGAGGAGGAGGAGGAGGAGGAGGAGGAGGCCGTAGCCATTTTGGCTCAAGTCCGTAGCGTGGCCCAGGCGTCAGCAGCGGACGGAGACTTTCTGGCATTGGGGGGCGCCCGAGAGGCGCGCACGGCCCCAGCAGCTTTCCCCTGACCTTTCCAGTCAGGGCACATTCGGTACTCAACTGCCCAGCTCGTCCTCTTTGCCAGCCACAGCGTGTTTGATGGCACCGTGGAAGGATGCGTCGCTTCAGTTTCTTTCTTCGCTCCAGGGGGCCGAGCCCTGGACGTGTGGACACTGTGGCACAGGAGGCAACTTCGCGACAAAGATGCAGTGCCGCCAGTGCTTCGCCCCCGCGCCGAAGCACATCCAGGCGGCCATCACGCGTGCGTCCCGCTCCTCACCGGTGCGGCGACCGTGGCAGAGGGCCGACCCCCCAGCTGGGGGCAAGGCCAAAGGCAAGGGCAAGGAGAAGGGAGACAAGGGCAAGGACAAGGGCGTGGCTGGCCCCGCTCCTCGCGGCACTGCTGGCGCTGCTTGGGGCTACTTCGGGGCTGGCACTGACCTGCTCAAGTCCAAGGCAGCCGAGCAGCCCGACCCCATCGCGGTGCTCGACAAGTCGATCGGCACGCTTGAGTCCCTCGCCGACCCCAGTCTCGGCTCCATCATCGAGGCCAAGCGGGCGGAGAGGGCGACCCTTGTCGCCCAGAAGCGGGCAGGCAAGCCTCTGCACCTGCAGCTGCAGGCACTGGAGGGCAAGATGGCCGCCGCGCAGCGCAAGCTCGCACGCCAGCGCGATGAGGTCGTGCCCGAGCTGCAGCAGCGCCTGGCGGAGGCTCAGCGGGTGCAGGAGGCGGCCAGCAAGGAGCTGGAGCAGCTGCAGGAGGAGAAGGCTCAACTGGCCAGGCGAGTCGTGGCGGAGGAGCAGGCCCCAGTGGGGGCAGCGGGTCCTCTCGGCGGTGGCCCCCATTGCGGGCAGGCGGTCATCAGCCAGCTCGTGGCAAACCTGGAGAAGCTGGTGGGGGACGCCGAGGGCGACGGCGACTCGGTGCCCAAGCCACTCGTGGAGTCCCTCCAGAGCTTGCTCAAGCTGGTCAAGGAGCTCCCGCAGGCCTCAGGGGCTCCCGCTGCTGCTGCCGCCGCGCCTCCTGGGGGGCCTGGTGCAGCGGCGGCTGCCGCGCCCCCAGGGGGGCCTGCTGCTGAGGCCTCGGCCGATGGCGGCGGCGACGCAGTGGGGGAGCAGAAGCGCAAGCGAGACGAGCTGGTGGACCAGTACCTCAGCGGGCTGCCCGAGGAGGAGCGAGCCGCCAAGCGGGCGGTGCTGGGTTCCTTCTACGACCACCACGGCGAGGAGGCGCTCCCCCAGGCGTCTCTTTGATGGGCCCGCGGGCCCGCCCTTGATCGACTGGACCACCTACGGGGACGGCCAGTTCTGGACAAGCGAGGGCCTCTACGACGAGGAGCTGCACGGGGTTGGCTTCTCTGAGGGCGGCGGGGGCGCGCACTCTGGCCAGGGCGACGGCTGCTGCGCGCCCGCGGCCATGGGCAGGCAGCCGCCGCCCGTCGTGCCCAACACTTCTCAGTCCACCTACCTCGAGGGCAGGTCGCAGCACGTTGGGGATGACCCAGCGGGGCAGCCTCAGGGGCGGCGACGCACTCGGCGAGGAGACCGACACGTCATCGCCGCCACCTTCAACGCCAATCTCTCCTGGGCTCGCGTCGAAGAGTTCATGGAAGAGGAGATCGACCAGCTCATCAAGAGCGGCGGCGTCCCCGTCATAGCGGTGCAGGAGCGCGCGAAGCCCGCCGAGTGGTTCCACGTCACTGCAGCGGCGCAAGAGCGACGGGGCTGGCGAGTTGTGGGTGTGCCTGCCGTGCGCACGGCAGAGGGCGGCTACTCCGCGGGTGTGGCGCTGATCACACCGCGCTGCCTGAGCCTCAGCCTGGCGCCAGGCCAGGCGTCGTGGGACATCTCCCCCGCGGGCGCCGCAGGCAGGCTGTGCTTGGGCATGACCGAGGTCAAGGGCATTGGCTGGGTGGCCCTTTTCTCGGTGTACTTGTTCACTGGCAAGCCCGTCACCTGGGCCTTGAACGCGGCCCTGCTGGACACCATCGTGCATTGGGTCTGCCAGATGAGGATCCCCTGGATGGCCATGGGTGTCTTCAACAATGAGCCGCACGCCATCCTCGACAGCCCCTGGAAGCAGGAGGCCAAGGGCCAAGTTCTGGCCTGGCAAGGGGAAGGAGGCGCATGCAGGTCCAAGGTGGTAAAGCAGGGCGTGGAGGAGTTTAAGGATCGGGTCATCGACTTCTTCTGGGTGGATGCGAGGCTGGCCGTGATCTTTTGCCCAGTGAAGTCCTTCGAGAACATGCCCTACAGGCCGCACAGGCCAACTTGGATCCGCGCCGACAAGCCCTGGCACGCGTACCAGATCCAGGTCCTCAAGGGCCCCAAGCAGTACCCCATCACCAGGCCGCCACCTGTCAGGCAGCCCGAGATCCCGCAGGGCTACCCCAAGCCCGACCTGCTCCACGGCTCGCAGCAGCACCTGGACCAGTGCTGGAGGGGGTTTTGCTCTGCAGCTGAGGCCGAGCTTCGAGCTCTGTTCGGCTGGGCGGAGTTGGAGGCACGCAGGTATGAAGGCCGAGGCTTGACTCCCGAGGTGGTGCAGAGACAGCTTCTTCCGAAGCATGACAGCCCCGTGGCTGATCGAGGTCCTGCCAGGGCCTGGCGTTGGGCCGCGGGGGAACTGGCCTGGATAGGCCCACTCGTCTGCTGCGTCTTGCGGGGCCAGTCGGTGCCCAAGGCCAAGTCGGAGGCCCCAGCAGGCCAGGTGACCACCTCGGGAGAAGGGCCTCCTCGATCCTACAACGAGGAGGTCACAGGCCAGCTCAGACGGGCCTGGAGGAAGCTGCTCCAGGCGAGGCACCACTGGGACCAGCTGGAGCCCTGGAGCGCGGGGTTACTGCCAGCGCTGCGCACCCTCGCCGACGTGGAGCCCCACTTCACCGGCGCGCAGGCCATCTTCGCGCTGCAGCAGTTCGCCAAGGTGCGGGCCCAGACCTGGGAGCAACACCTCATGCGGCAGCGCTCCAAGCGGTTCTACGAGCGCCTGAGCGCGAAGTTCCCAGGCTCAGGGGGCTACTTGCACCGCATCTGCCACTGGAAGCAGGCGCGGAAGGAGCCCATCTCGTCGGCCAAGAAGCTGAAGCTGCCAGCGGACCCGCAGCTCGCGGTCAATCAGGAGGCGCAGGAGTGGGCTAGCATTTGGCGCGCTGGGTCAGGTGACTACACCAAGTTGTGGCAGGACACTCAGGTCCATGCCCAACGGATGGCCCACGCGCAGGAGCTGCCCATCATCGACGCGATGCAGGTGCGCACCATATGCCGCAGTTACAAATGGAAGACTGGGCTCGGGCTTGACGGCTGGCACTTCGGGCACCTGGCCTGGCTCAGTGACGGGGCGTTGACCAGCCTCGGGGACATCCTCATGCTGTGCGAGCGGCTCTGCTCGTGGCCCACGGCCATACGCATGCTCATACTTGTCCTGGTCGCCAAGGAAGACGGCGGCGGCAGGCCCATCACCCTTTTTCCCACGCCAGTACGCATCTGGGAGGCTGTTCGTGATCCCTTGATTCGGCGGTGGGGGCGGGCCCACGTGAGGCCCTACGACTGGGCATCACCAGGGCGCAGCAGTGAGCATGCTGTTTGGAGAGCGATGTTGGACGACGAGGCCTTGGAAGGTACCTGTTTCGCGTCCCTCACCGCCTTGATGGATTTGGAGAAGGCGTATGACTATGTAGCGCTCAATTTGATTTGGATTCTCGGCATGGTGCAGCAAGCACCCATGAGTGTCTTGGCCCTTTCTCTGGAGTCGTACGCTTTCCCCCGGGCGGTTCGAAAGGGCCAGGCCGTCGCCGACGCCATGTGTACTTACGTGGGGTTGCCCGCTGGGTCGAAGTATGCCAATCGCTTCCTGAAGATTGTGCTGTATCCGATCCTGGACGTCGTGGCCCGATGGCCAGGGGCCAAGCTGGAGATCACGATGCTTGTGGACGACTTAGCCCTGCGGATGGTGGGCAGGAGCGCACAGCTGAAGGTGATATTCCCCGACCTGGCCCGCACCCTCATCCGCCTCTTGGAGTCGCTGCTGCAGCTCAAGGTCTCGAAGGGTGAGGGAGGCAAGTCAAAGTTCGTCTCCAGCGACGGCTCCTTGGCACAGGAGCTGGCACAGCCCATGGCGGACGTCGGCCTGCAGCACGGCGAGAGCGAGCGCTGGTTGGGCGTGGACTACCAACCCCAGGGCCCTCGGAAGAAGGCCACCAGGGCCAGACGGGTCAAGACCGCTCGAGGCCGCTGGCACAAGGCGGCGGCCCTCAAGCGGCGAGGGGTGAGGGTGCGCCCTGTGGTGCAGCAAGGCCTCAAAGCGTCAGTTGCGTATGGGGCGACCTGCGCTGGCACCCCTCCTGCCGTCCTCAAGTTCGCCATGGCCAAGACAGCTGCTGTGCGTGCGGGGGCTGGGACCTATCGTTCGGGCACGTTGGGCTGGGCGATCGCGCCGAGGACGGACGGCGCCGAGCAGCTCAGGATCGCCCCTCTTCGGGCATGGCTACGCGAGGCCTGGGGCCAGCCCGAGAGACGGAAGGAGATGGCCCACGCGTGGGGCCGTCAGTGGCCCAAGGTGCAGCGTGCCCTCACCTATGGCCCCGCCAAGCTCGACGCCTGGAAGATGGTGCGGGGGCCAGCGGCTGCTACCATTCTGACGGTGCACGAGCTGGGATGGCACATGGAGGACGCCTGGACCATCCTCGACGGCGTCCACGGCAAGTGGGACATCCGCGAGGTCGCCCCCCCTCGAGGTCCTGCGGTCTGCAGAGAGGGCGGTCGCAAAGAAGAAGCTCATGGACTGGGCGCTCGCTGATGAGGAGCGCCAGCCGCTCCGACCCACTCCTGATGCCAGTCAAGCAGCTCATGCGCTCCAAGCCCACGGGGACCTGGACGAGACACCACATCAACAGTGCCAGGACGGTCGCGCTAGGAGGTTACCCTGTACAGACGGTGTGCTACGAGCGCGGCCAGGTCACGAGTCCTCTGTGCCCTTTGCGCGGCAAGAAGAAGGGCACTTTGTTGCATGTGTACTTTCTTTGTGATGCAGATGTGCGCGTCACGATTCGTGATGGGCTCACGGGGCCGACTCTCAAGAACAGTTTTTTGGGACGTGGTGCATTTGGGCGAGACGGCCGCCACGAAGGAGGAGCAGGGCTGCAGAGGCGGTGACACGCTCTTCTGGAAATGGGCTCGCGGCCTGATCGCGGACCCCGCGGCCGACTACCAGGTGCCCACGCCGCCCGACGAGTACCAGTGGGGCGACCCTGACGGCGAGATGGTGCTGTCGGGCTGGGCGGCCACGGACGGATGCGTCCTGTCCCCCGACGTGGAGGAGGTTTCCACGGGAGGCTTCGCCGCCATCACCTGGAGCGCTGAAAAGAAAAGTGATATTCAGTCATTGTTCGGTGCTGTGCCAGTTGCGAGGCCCACGTCGGCCCTACTGTGAGATCTGGGCTGTGTATCAGGCTGTAAAGCACTCGGTAGGGCTCGTAGGGCTCCTGATAGATAGCAAGCAGGTCGTTCAGGGGCTCTTGGCGGGCAAAGAATTTTGTGTGAATAGCGAGCAGATGACCGCGCACCTTTGGAAGCTTGTTTGGGATGCCCTGGAGGATCAGTATCTCATCCCAGGAGAGTCCCTTCAAGTAGTCAAGATAAAGTCTCACATGACCAAGGCCCAACGAGCCTGTCTTTCGGGTGAGAGTCTTGTGCATTTTGATATGAATAGGTGTGCGGACGCTCGTGCAAGAGAGGGAGCTGACCCCTATGCCGCCCCAAAGTGCAAGGTGGAACAGGTCCAGCAGTGTCTTAAATTTCAGAAGGGGCTGCTACAGTATGCAGCATCTTTCCGTGTGGATCTTAGTGAAGCCAAAGCTACCACCACGAGCCTGCCGCCCCCTGCTGGTCGGACTCGGAGGAGCGAACGTATTGCCCGCCCTTTGGCAGTCGCGCCTGAGCGGGCCCACCGTTTTAGGCTCCTAGAGGGTGGTAAGTGGCAGTGTCTGGAGTGCTCTCGCCTCGTCCGCGTGGCCGCTCGTCTCAGCATGGCCAAGCGGGAGTTGTGCCCTGGATGGGGGGGGGGCATTTCAAAAGGCAGGGCCCGTTTGAAAGTCAAGGCCCTGGTCCACGGCGAGTGTGTGACGGACCAGATCCGTGCAGCTGCGGCTGAGAGGGCTGCGGAGGCAAGGGGGTCTGGGTCCCAGGTTTCACCCCCACCCCCACCTCGGGAACACGAAGTGGTTGAGAAGGTGGGTTATGCTGTGTGCCGAATTTGTGGGGCTTTCGCCCGTTCCCGAACCCAGAAGTTGTTGCGGGAATGCGAGGGCCCTTTGACGAAGGGTATTGCCGCCCATCGGTGGCGGAAGCTCTATCGTGATCGAATCCTGGACGGTAAGAATCCGTACACGGGAAAGCCCGTGCGAGAGCAGGATTGACCTGTTTGGCCAAGGTGATGTGTGGTCCTGAGGCCCATCCCCAAGAGCCCCCCAGTCAAAACGAGGAGGAGGAGGAGGAGGAGGAGGAGGAGGAGGAGGAGGAGGAGGAGGGATGATGATGCTGATGATGATGAGGATGGTGATGATGAGGAGGAGGAGGAGGAGGGAGGAGGAGGAGGAGGAGGAGGAGGAGGAGGAGGAGGAGGAGGAGGAGAGCGGACGAGGGGGGGGAGGGAGGAGGGGGAGGAGGATGAGGAGGGGGCGGGGGGGCGGGCAATCCAGGGCCATTCCCCCTCCCGCGCCCCCTCCCCCGCTCCTCTCCCGAAGCGCGCCGCGGCGTTGGCAGGGCCGCCTTGGCGGCTTCGCGCTGGCGCAGCTGGCCGCATTCTCCGTGCAGGCCGCGGGGGGGGCCTCCCCCCGGCCGAGGGAGGCGGGGGCCACGGCGAGGCGCGGGCACTCAGGCGAGGGCCCCCCTTGGGAGCCTCGTGGGGGGAGGGCCCTTGGCATCGTTCGGACGTGTGCATTTTTTTCTCGGCGAGGACCATCGAGGAGCACCCTTGATCATTTGGCGAAAAAACCACTCACGAAACTGGAAACAACACAGGGAATGGACGTCCAAGCGATGGCGAGGGCTCCAGAGCGCCAGAAGTTTTTGTTTATGTGGCATGTTCTTCTCCTGCTCGCAGCCCTCCCTCGACTGTGGTCGACCGCCGCTGCCGCTCCAACGATCGAGCCAGGGCACTCGCTCGCCCTCTCCGCCCAGCGGCATCTGGCGCACCACCCCGCTCCAGGCGTGCCACGGAGGTCGCAGCAAGGAGCTTTGCCATCGCCTCCCTCGTGGCGGCAGTGGGCGACTTCTCGTGCAGCCAGGTTCCAGATTCCAGGAGGAGGAGGAGTAGGAGGCCGAGGGAGGGAGGAGGAGGAGGACGAGGAGGAGGAGGAGGAGGACGCCGAGCAGTAAGGGTGGACGAGGAGGAGGAGGAAAATTATGAATTGGAAGAGAGCCGTTGATCGACTCGGGGGGCGCGAAGCCTCCGCCCAGCCTTCGACACAGGGGTGGAGGTCCCGCAGCGGGCAGCAGACTCAGCGCAGCACCCGGCGACGGCCGCCGAGGAGCCCGCGACGGCCACCGGCAGTGCCGACCAGAGCTCACTCGTCATCAACATCGGCACACCGGTGGGGTGCCCGCCGGTGAGGCGGCCCGGCAGCAATGGCACCCCCGCAAGCGCATGGAGCATGAGCTCCGCAGCGCACACAGGTGGCCACCACGTGCGGCCCCCGCCACAGCGCGGCGCCTGGCAGGGCGCCGCGGGCTCGCGGCATGCGAGGCAGCACTCCGTAGCAGCAGCAACAGCCAAGCCACGACACGATCCATCGTCGGCCAGGTTCCCAACACGTGCCAGGCCAACACCATCGACGGCACCATCGGAGCCAGCTGCGCACCGCAGGCAGCGAATCGAGATTGCATCCACCGGATCATCGCGACGGGCCACCGGACCCATGGTTCGATGGCAGCCTCCACGATGACATTTCCATTGTCGAATGCGTCGACGAATATTTGGAATTGCAGCATAACGCCATCGGCAGCGTAGACTACAGCTTCGCCTACATGCCATTCAGCCTTCTTTGCGCATTCCGATGGCGACAACGCCACGGTAGGACTGTCCCCCCCCAAACGGGCCACCCCCGATTCCAGCATATCCATTTGTTCGCCCTTCGGCCAAAACGCTGGACCACGTTCGGCGTCGCCCATGTCCGCGGCTTCGGATTCGCACAGCAATGCAGATTCCGAGGACTTCGCCTCATCCCCGCAATCTCCCGGGCTACCCCACCGAGAGCGGACTCTCGCCCACGCCCGCGCTCACACCAACCAGGTTCCACGAGCGCACTACAGACGCCAGTGGCGCGTGCGGCCGCCGCCACTTTTGAGTACGAGGCGGGCCTGGCCCCCCCAAATGGGCACACGACCATGTACGAGGACACCCCCAATCAGGGGAAGCTCAACAAGGAGCTAGAGGATCGTGGGTGGACAGAACCCCCAACAGTGACACGTCGATTAGTGAATTGTCCGTTTTCGGTTTTCGAGAGGGCGCCGTCGCCGTTATTTTCCAAACTTGCGCCCGCTAGGTTTGGGCCTCAGGTCGTTTTCACTAAACCACAATTTGCTAAAGGGGGGTCTGTCCATCCCCGAGAAGACAATGACATCGTCGTGCAAATATTCCCGCGCCCGACGCAGATGCCAATGACGACAGCGACACGCAGACCTGGCTGTGTACAGCGGACTGCCTCCCCTCCGACGGGCCGACGTTCTCCCACGCGACCGCTTCGGAGAGAACGCAGGACGCCGCCTCCCAGGCCAGGCGAGGCGAGGCACCAGAGCACGACGACGTGCGCACAGATGGCCACCGCTCCGCCACGCCGTGCTCACCGCCCTCGGCTCAGACGCAAAGCACACCGTCGGCCCCCCCGCACGTCGAGCAGGCGGCAGGACGAGCAGGCCGCCCTCTCCTCCGGAGCCCGCTCGGCCAGGCCCACCCCTGCGAGAGGCTTCCTCCGAGGCGGCCAGCGCCCGACTGCAGGGAGGCATGGCGCCGGGTCTGCTCGGCGCGTGCGGTTCGCCGGCGCGCCATGGACGGGTGGCCGTGGAGGTGGAGAGATCACGTCGACATCTGGAGGTAGGATCTGCGTCTCTTTTTTTACCCTCGCTCGACGATGGGGCCGCTCAGAGGTATGCCTGGGGCGCCCGTGTACATACAAACACACACCCGTGCCTCGAGCGTCACAGGCTATGGTACTGAGCGTGGCACCACCCACCCTCAGGAACGGGTCGTTTTTTTTCACATGGGGCCAGCAACGACGTTTAGGAAAAACCTGGGGTGCATATGCTGTTCGGTTTCACGGGGTGCAGGAAGACCCGCCAGGGGGGCAGACCCTCCACGGGGTCACCCAGGAAGTCGGTCAAATCCAGATGTCACGATCGGCCTGACCCATACTTCAAGGAGGCCTGGCCGGGTTACCGCGCTCTTGGCCAGCAGAGCGCTCGCGCGTGTCGGCACAGACCTCTCTCTCCCTCACCCTTTTCGTCCCTTCTCTTTAGGCATGCCTTCGCCTCCTGGCCTCCCCCTGCCTCTCGGGCCGGACGAAAGGGGGGGATTGGGAAAGGGGGGGGGGACGAAATTTGCTGCATGCAGCTGGTTTCGGCCTTGCCGAGGGGCCCATTCCTCGATACATAGCCGCCTCCGGCGCTGGGAGGCGCCGGGAAAGTCAGCTACGTGAGCTGATTCTCAAACCCCCCCTTTGCTCTCCCCCCTTTCGCCCGACCCGATCCTCGCCTCTGGACCCCCCCCCAGCGAGGGCGTGAATGGCCAGCGCCCAGCGCCCCCCAAGACACGCCGCCCCGTCGTGGCCGCGGTTGGTGAGGCGACCGCTGCGGGCGCGAGGCGCCCGCGACAAGCCCGCCAGGGAGAACGGTGGGCCTGGTTTCCACCACCACCACCAGAAGTTGGACGGGGGAAGGAGGTGGAGGATGAGGGGGAGGAAGGAGGAGGGGGAGGAGGAGGCGGAGGAGGAGGAAGAGGAGGAGGAGGAGGAGGAGGAGAGGATGAGGAGGACGACCCCCTCCCCCTCCTACGTATGGTGGTGGTGGTGGAGACAGGCCCACCTTAAAAGCACCGCCGTTCCCGGCACCGCCAGCAGGAGTGCGACATGCGCGGCTCGAGGCTCTCGGGGGCGGCCAAGAGGGGGGTGATGACTAGGTGGGGCGGATATCATGGCGGGTGCCATAATATCTCACCAGGTTGCATGGCGCCTCTTCTTATTCATTGGCTTACGCCGTACCGCCGACCCCTTCGGCCGTCCTAGAGCTCTCTCGGGGGCCTCTGGGGCTATCTTGGGTCGATCTTGGAGGTTTCTTGGGCTGTTGTGAGCCTCGTGAACGGGCAAGAGGCGAATCTGCTAAACATAAACGTTATCCTAGGGAATAGGACGATGTTTGCTTCTTGAGGGTCTTTTGAAACGCCTCCTGGTGGCTTCTTGGCACGTCTACTGGGCCCCTAGGGCGGTCTAGAGGCAATCTTGGGCGTCTTGGAGCGATCTCCTGACACGTCGTAGCCCTCTTGGACCGTCGGGGGGGCAGTGTGGGACCCTCTTGGCCGATCTTGGGGCCCTCTTGGGGCCGTCCTGGGGCCCTCCTGGGCCGTGTTGGTGGCTTCTGGGGCCTTCTTGGGTCGGTCTTGAGGGCTTCTTGGGCTGTTGTGGGCCTCGTGGAAGAGGCGAATGTGCTGAACATGTACGCTCTCCACCGCGAACGGGGCGTGTCTTGCTTCTCGAGGGCCTCTTTGGGCGCCTCCTGGTGGCTTCTCGGGGCGTATTGATGTCAGCACGTCCCTGGCACCCGCCCTGGGCCGCGCACGCGCCGCCGGCCACGATCTGCGCCCCCCCCGCCGCCTCTCTCTTGGGCACCCCCCGCTCGGCCGCCCCCGAGGCTCCGGCTGCGCGCCCCCCCCCCCCCACGCCACCGCAGGGACACGAGAGTGCGGGCTCGTCGAGTCGCTTGGCCTCGCATTTTTCGTTCGGCGAGGACCATCGAGGAGCATCCTTGATCATTTGGCGACACAGCCACGCGCGAAACCGAAACAAAAAACAGGGAATGGACGTCCGAGCGATGGCGAGGTCGGCTCACCGCGTCTGCGCCGCGCCAGCCGAAGCCATGGTGCAGAGATTTTCCTCGTCGCGCCCGCCAGTGCCGCCGTCGTCACAGCGGCATGCTGCCCCGCGCCCCCGGGTCAGGAAGGGTACTCCAGATCTCGTAATAAAGGGAGGGGGATCTCATTTCGGGGGGGGTCTCTTCCAGGCTATCTTGGAGGGCCTGGGGGGGTCTGGGGACGATGTTTTGGAGAGCTCTCCCACGGGGGAGGTCTGAAATGGCTTGTCTCGGAGGGTCCAGACCCCCTCCCTTTTATTACGAAATCTGGAGTACGGTTCAGGCCTCGATTGAGATCGGCGGACGGGATTGAGGAGACCGCACCTTCCCAGTTGGCGCCGGTATAGCCAAGGAGCCCCGGCTCCACGAGGATTCATCCAGCGAGCCCTCCCCCCAGGTGCGCCACCATAGAGGAACGCGGGCCTGCCAGGTCAGTACGCTGGTCAGCAGGCGCTGGTCGTGTTCGCTTTCGCGACGTGCCCGCCGCCTTGGCGAGGGAGCGCTGGGCAGCTTGCCGGGACCTCTCCCCGCCTCCCCCCTTTCTTGTCGTTCCTGTTGCCCCCCCCTCTCGTCCTCACCCTCCCTTCCTCCTCTTTCTTCCTTCTCCTCCTCAGTTGGTATCCTCCCTTGTCGTCCCTTTTTCTTGTTTTCCTTCTCTTCCTGGGGTAGCGCTCCTTTTTCGGTAAGTGGCGCAACTTCACGCATCAGCCTTGCGGAGCAGGGCCTGGGATGGTACGTCTGAAGACATTGCAGCCCCCAGGCACACATATACTCGGATACTCAGGTGCTCGGGAGGAAGAGGAGGAGGAGGTGGAGGTGGAGGAGGAGGAGGAGGAGGAGGAGGGAGAGGAGGAGGAGGAGGAGGAGGAGGAGGAGGAGGAGGAGGAGGAGGAGGCCGAGGACGAAGAGGATGACGCGGAGGACGAGGAGGAGGACGAGGACGCATAGGAGGTGGAGGAAGGTGGGAGAAGAGGAGGAGGGGTGGTCTGTGCTCCCGGGCCTCTCGTACGCGGGCGGGCGCGAGCCCGCGCGGGCGCCAGGTTGGGCCCGTGGCGCCGCAGACGCTCTCGCAGTTGCTGGTCGGCTTCTTCGACCTCTACGGGTTTCGGGGTCGTCGCGTTTGTCGTCGCAGTCGTCCTCTTGGACGTCGTCGTCGTGGACGCGTCGATTCGTCGTCGGCGGCGGCGGCGGCGCCGCCGTGGTCGGCGGAGATCTCTCGAAGGAGGGAAAGGCGCGGCATGCGCATTATCGGAGCATTTTCTTTGGGTGGAGGGCAAGGGGTGAGATTTGAAATGCCGTTGCGATGGATTTTCCAGACTCGAATCTGCAAGCGGTGAATCAATCGCAGGACGGATGGACTTCCGAGGTGCAGAAGCCCATATGGATTTCACCCTGAGCCCTGCACCCTGAGAAAGTGCTCAGATTTCGTTTTGGTTTGCCGATGCGGGCACCATCTCGGGCCCGCGGCGGGGCCTCTCAGAGGCCGCCCCCGACCTGCTGCGGAGGCCCGAGGGGCTGGCGACCTCGAGGGGCCGATTGGGGCTCTGGGGGCCCAGAGGAGGTTCCCAGCGCAGGTCGGCAGAAGCCTTAAGGCGGGCGTGCCCCCCTGCAGGAGGAATGTTCAAGCATAGCCAAGAAATGCTCTGGGGACTATCGGGGACCATCTGTTGAGCATTTGTTTCGCTATTTGTGTTGAGTATGCTTGGGGGCTATTTTCCATGTGTCCACAATCCGCCTGCAAGGGGACATGGCCCGACCTAACACAAGCTTCGGGTGCATTATTTTTCGAGTTAGGGAGGTCCGCGCGGATTTCGTGGATCGGCGCTGGGCCCCCTGGCCCCCTTGTCCCCTGGCGGCGCGACGCGCACCAAGGAGGCGGGTCGAGCGCCGATCTGCGCGGACCTCTGGAGAGTTCTGGTTGTACAGCTTTGGCTCCTTGCGTGGTTGATGAGAGTCCTGGGGGACTCAGTGAGCTTGGGGTTGGAGCGGGATGGGCCGCTGGGAAGCCCCTCCTAGGACGGAGCACGTGGAAGAGGAGGACAAGGGGCAAGATCAGGGGGAGGGCGAGGAGGATGACGAGGAGATGAGGAGACGAGGAGACGAGGAGGCGAGGAGACGAGGAGACGGGGAGACAAGGAGGAGGAGGAGGAGAAGGAGGAGGACGAGGACGAGGACGAGGAGAAGGACAGGAGGAGGAGGAGGCGAAGAAGGAGGAGGAGGAGGAGGAGGAAGAGGCGGAGTAGGAGGATAGCAGGCAGTATGACGCCGAGGGGGAAGAGGAACTGTAGCAGCAGCAGCAGCAGTAGCAGCCGCATGTTCTTGAAGGATGCTCTTCTGTCCCAGGTCCGAGTGTTCAGGCGATCGCAAACATAGATTAAGGGGGCGTGGATTTGCGACGGGTCCCGTTTTTCGTTGGAAATTGCGGATTTCCGCAGCCGAGCGAGGCGGCACGGGCCGCACTTTGGGGAGGGCACCTCCCCCGATCCATGGATTTGGCGACCGCGCGCCAAATCCATGGATCGCTAATCCATGTCTGCGCGCCCCCGAATTGTTCGGAGGTGGACAGGCCTCTCACCCTGACACGCCGATTCAAGCATTGGCCGTTGCCGGTGCGCGAGAGGGCGTCGCGGCCGTCGTTGTAGCGGGTCCAGGTCCGTCGGTTTCGGTCCCAGGCCGTTTTCCTGAATGGGGAGGTTTACTAAAGGGAGGTTTGTCCACCGCCGAGTGAAGAGCAAATCCGAGGTGACACAACTGCACCAGGACGAAGAGGAGGATGAGGAGGAGGATGAGGAGGAGGAGGAGGAGGGTGGAGGAGGAGGAGGAGGAGGAGGAGGAGAGGAGGAGGAGGAGGAGGAGGAGGAGGAGGAGGAGGGAGGAGGAGGAGGAGGAGGAGGAGGAGGAGGAGTCGGCAGGAGGCTTGCGCGCCCCCGAATTTGGTACCGCGCCGGCCCTCGCCCGAGGGACCGCTCGGTCTTCGAGCCGCGCCGTGTCCCTGCCGGTGCCCCCCGGGGGGGTCCCGAGAGAGCACGGGCCTCGGAGGCCGAGCAGCTCGGGGGGACGAAGGATTGCAAAAAAACGAAGGATTGCAACAAAAACAAAGGATTGCAAACAACCCGAAGGATTGCAAAAAAACGAAGGGTTGCAAAAAAAACAAAGGATTGCAAAAAAAAACCACGGATAGCAAAAAAACACAGAAGGATTGCAAAAAACACGAAGGACTGCAAAAAAACCCAGGATTGCAAAAAAACACTTCGGTTTTTTTGCAATCCTTCTGTTTTTTTTGCAATCCTTCGTTGCAATCCGGCGCGCGAACTGGGCAGGCACGTGCCGTCGGAGATGCCCGGGTCCCCCCCCCCGAAGTGGGGAAGATCGGGGGGGGAAAAGAGGGGGGTGATGACTAGGGAGGGGGGGATATCATGGCGGGGGGCATGATATTTCCCTTTTATTTCATGGCGCCTCTTCTTGTTTTAATACGTCCCTGGCCCCCCCGCTGGGTCGCGCACATGCCGCCGGTCATGATTTGCACCCCCCCCCCTCTTGGACACCCCCCTCTTTGCCGCCCCCGAGAAGAGGAAGCTCCTTCCAGAGTCCTTCGACAGGCCTCTCAACGCTCTTTGGGCGCCCGCTATGCTGGTTTCTCCCGGATAGCCGCAGGGTAGTCCAGGGGATCTCTCTGGCTTCCGTTTTCCAGCGCCGCTGCGGCTTGCTTGAGGCTGCTGCACCGCGTTCCCGCACGCCGCCCCCACCCCCACCGGGGGGGAGCATGATGAGCTGGTATGCGGGATGCAGGTGCGCATGATGTTCTGCGAGAGCGTCCGCAGACGACCCTCGGCCTCCACCCTCCAGGTGGTGGTGTGGGTTCTGCAAGCCTCCAGGACTTGTCCGAGCAGGTGGGGTCGAATGATTGCGTCGTATCGCCCGTGCATCTCGGATTCAGCACGATGCGGAGCCTGCTCTTTTCTCCGCGCTGGCGTCGCCGAAGCTCCGCCGACGTCGCCGACGCATCGCTGATGCATCGCCGATGCATCGGTGGTGCAGCGCGGCGATGCGGGGCGATCCTCCGACCCCATTTGCTCGGACCCCATCTGGGAGGCCTCTAGTGTTGAGTCGGGCCTGTCCCTCTAACCGAGGCATATTCAAAGATAGTCAAAAACACAGGTTGGGGACGATTATTTTTTTACTGCTTATTGATTATTTTGGAGGGTTTGTTTTGAGTATTTCTATTTTTTGCACAACATCCGCCTGTAGGGGGACAGGCCCAGACGCGGGCGCCTTTTTTTGGATCATGGAGGTCCGCGCGGATTTCGTGGATCGGCGTTGGGCCCCCTGGCCCCCTTGTCCCCTGGCGGCGCGACAGCCTGCGCGCGATAAGGAGGCGGGTCGAGCGCCGATCTGCTCGGACCTCTGGAAGGTTCTGGTTGTACAGCTTTGGCCCTTGTTGCATGGCCGATGAAAGTCCTGGGGGACTCAATTAGCTTGGGATTGGAGAGAGATGGGCCGCTGGGAAGCCCCTCCTAGGACGGAGCACGTGGAAGGGGAGGACAAGGGACAAGATCAGGGGGAGGGCGAGAAGGATGACCAGGACGAGGAGATGAGGAGACGAGGAGACGAGGAGACGAAGAGACGGGGAGACGAGGAGGAGGAGGAGGACGAGGACGAGGACGAGGAGAAGGACGAGGAGGAGGAGGATGAGGCGAAGAAGGAGGAGGAGGAGGAAGAGGAGGATAGCAGGCAGGAGGACGCCGAGGGGGAAGAGGAACTGTAGCAGCAGCAGTAGCAGCCGCATATTCTTGAAGGATGCTCTTTGTCCCAGGTCCGATTGTTCAGGCGATCGCAAAAATGGATTGAGGGGGCGTGGATTTGCGACGGGTCCAGTTTTTCGTTGGAAATTGCGGATTCCGCCGCCGAGCGAGGAGGCGGCACGGGCCGCACTTTGGGGAGGGCACCTCCCCCGATCAATGGATTTGGCGACCGCGCGCCAAACCCATGGATCGCTAATCCATAGATCGCTAATCCATGTCCGACTGTTCAGGCGATCGCAGACATGGATTAAGGAGGAGGAGGACCCCATCTGGGAGGCCTCTGGTGGTGCGTGGCCTCTACCCTGCCCCCCGGGCGCAGGCTCGAGTTCGACTGGTCGCGGGAGTGCGTGTCGGTGGCCCTCGGCGCGCGGGCGCTCAAAGCGTCCGCGCCCCGCCCCCGTGCACCCGCCCCGCGGCGCGCTGGGATTTCGAGGTTCCTCCTCCTCCTCCTCCTCCTCCTCCTCCTCCTCCTCCTCCTCCTCCTCCCCCTCCCCCTCCCCCTCCCCCTCACCCTCCCCGTCCTCCTCCTCCTCCTCCTTCTCCTCCTCCTCCTCCTTCTCCCCTCCCCCTCCCTCCTTCTCCTCCTCCTCTTCCTCCTCCTCCTCCTACTCCTCCTCCTCCTCCTCATCCTCCTTCTCCTGCGCTGGTGGCGGCTGGCAAGGACGGCATCACCGAAGGCCAACTCTCAGTGGTGGCACCTTCCGCCCAAGCCGGAGGTGGCCGACATCGCTTCGAAGCCGCTGGCCCAAGTGCTCCAGAGGAAGTCGGACAAGAGCAAACAGGTGGAGAAGGCCAAGGTACGCGTGGCGGAGCGAGCCCAGGAGCTGGCGGCTGCGCAGGAGGCCTACGACGCGGAGCTGCGGCAACTCCGCGAGCACGAGGCCAAGTTGGCCGAGCTGGATGCGATCGAGAAGACCAAGTGTGCAGAAACTGCCATGGGCTTCAAGGGGGACACGGTCGCTCTCCTTGACCATCTCGCGTTGCTCCTTTACGCCCTCGGCCAGAACGAGGACATGCAGGATGGCAAGGCGAGCCTCGTGGACGCCCGCGCCGTCGCCGCCAAGACCAAAGAGAACCTCCTGGTCGCTGAACGGGCTGCAGCTGCAGCCAAGGAAACCCACAGCTCTGGCGGTGCTCCTGCTGCTGATGGCCCCGGGGCTCCTGCAAGTGGTGGCGCAGCCAGCGGAGGCATGGAAGTGGAGGTGCCCGGCCTCGAGGTGGACCAGGACCTTGCCGACCAGGTGGCCGCTGGGGTGGAGAAGCTGGGAGGCTCCCGCCCAGCCTTCGATCTGGACAAGCCTGAAGACGTCGACAAGCTCAAGCGGGTGGCCCCCAAGTTCCAGGACGCTGAAGGACTGGCAACACAACTGCAGCGTGTTCGACCATGGACAGGTAGGCCTGCGCCAAGGTTTGGCGGACCTCGAGAAGTTCTGTGGGTCCAACGAGTGCGGCTTGGAGTGGCCTGAGCTGGGGTACCATATCCCTGCAAGCCGCTCAGACAGGTAGGTGCTTCTTCTCCGACATGGAGAGACGCGAGGAACTCAAGGTTGCCACCCCTCAGGCTAGGAGAGCCAACGAAAAGGGCAATGGCACAAGGAGATCACAGATGGGGTCGTGTACTTCGGCTTCCGCGTCGAGCGGCGCACTCACTGTCTTTGAGAAGCCGGAGACCCGTTCGCAAACGAAACCCACCCAGGGCCTGGGCTCACTCGAGCCCCTGGACCCACGTAAAGGATCCTGCGAGCGGGAATCGGCGGAGGGATGGCAGAAGTCGCCACATGAAGGCATGCCTGGTGCTCAAGGCGCCGCTGCGGGTCGTGGAGTCGCTGGAGGCTTCACGGAGGCCAAGGACCAGAACCCTGCGAGGCGAGCGGCCGTGCCGGCGCGCATGGCGTTCGAGAGGGGGCTGAGGGCCTCCACCGCGTGCTGGCACCAGGACGTCTCTGTGCTTGACGAAGCTGGAGATAGAGCGCACTGTTTGCGCTTGTGCGTGTCCTACGTGGCCTACCTGCTGACGCACGGTGCGTGGGCGCCACTCGTCACCGAGGCACCTCGGATGGCCGGCGTCGACAACATGGGCGTGGTCAGACTCAGGATGGCGCAGGACTTCTGCGAGGAGGCGTGGGCCGCACGGCGGCGCACGCGTGCCAACTACCGCGCCAACGTTGCCTGGCTGGCCCATGCCGACGCGCAGGAGTGGGCGGAGCAGGTGGCGCGACACGGGCGTTCCATGACCGAGGCGGAGGAGGTGTTCGGCTCGGTGCCTGGCAGGCGCGCTGCTTGCGCCGCCCGCGGGGCCGCTGCCGCGGCGCGTGCCAGGTCGCCGTCGGAGGAGCCGAGTGCGAAAGGCAGGCCTAGCAGGACCGCGTCCGCTTCTGAGGAGGGCGCGGGGAAGCTGGGGCCCCAGGTCAGCGGCGGAGCGGGGCCTCGGCGAGGTGGGCTGGATACTCGTGTTCGGCGACCTTCCGTCGGTGGGTCGAGGGCCAGCGCAGATCGAGGTGCAGGAGTTCCCCCTGCCCCCAGCGCAGTCGGTCAGAAGCGCATCGCTGACGCCAAGGCGCCCGACAAGCTCTTGATCGTGTCGGCCAACGCCAGCGGTCAGTCCTTCTTGGAGTGGAGCAGTGGAGCACCGCATTATGGCGCGATGCTGAAGTCGGCGGCGACCTGGGCTAGGCGCGCTGGCTTTGAGTTCTTCGGAGGTCTAGCTCAGGACACGGGCCCGGGGCCCCTGTGCAGCTCTGGAGGAGCGGCGGCCCTCGCCGCGATGGCGGCGGCCAGCGTGGAGAAGCCCGAGGAGCGCAGTGTGGTGGGGCCCCGTCGGGCGAGAGCCGCGAAGCTCAACGCGGGCCTGGGCTTCCCGATCTTCATCGCTTCGGTCTGCGTGGTGGGCGGCGTCGGGGTCGCGGGCGACAGCGTTGCGCTGCCTGAGGCCCTGCAGGCATGGGTCGGCAGCCTTGAGCGGCCGTGGGTCATCCTCGCGGACTGGAGCATCGAGCCCGACGGCTTGGCCAGCTGGACAAAGCAGGCCTGAGGGGTCCTCGTGCGGCCGAGGAGTCCGACTTGCGGCGGGCGCGAGTACGCTTACGCCATAGTGCCCGGGGCTCTTGCCAGTCGGGTTGGCGCGGTTAAGGTGCTGAGCGAGGCCCCCGATCTCGCCGCGCCCCCCGACCGCCATCGAGCTGAAGGGCCTTGCGCCAGAGAGCCGCGGCCACCAGGGCGGTGTACCCCAGTCGGTGCCAGACGGCCCTGCCACCTCCTGCACAGGCAGCGCCGCCCGAGCTAAATGAAGACGAATGGCCGTGGTGCTCGACGGCTGGGCCCACTGATGTGGAGGAAGCCTCCAAGGTCACGAGCGGAGCAGAGTGGCAAGAGACAGGCCTGCAGGTGGAGACTGTTCCCCCGGTCCAGGAGTGGGAAACACGATGAAGGAGACGTCCGGCGCCGAGCACCGCAAGCGGACAGGCCTGCTAGCGTTTGCAGAAAGGCGGCTTCTCTCCGAGGGCACCAGTTGGACAACTGTCGGGTCAGGTACTCCCGCTTCGAGCGCCAGGTCTGCGTGGTGCGAGCGTTCGAGTTCGACGAGGAGGAGTGGGCTACGTCTGGGCCGCTTGCTGCCTGGTACCAGCATGCTATTGTGAACGCATTCCAGGGGTTTTCACGACTAACACGCCCTCCTGATTGACCTCCACGACCACGACGTTGCCTCCGTCCAGAGGAGGGACAAGGCCAAGCGCAGCAAGGAATGGAGAGAGCGGGGACAAGAGGCAGCCACCAAGTCAGGAGGCCAGAGGGCATGCCGTTTCATCAAGGACGGCAGCCTGCTCCCGTCGACTGCGATAGTGCACGAGGACGACGAGAGCGACTTTGGCCTCCCAGCGACCAGGCGACGAAGGAGCGGGGGAACCTCTGGGTTCACCCCGGCAGGCAAGGGGACTCAGACCTTCGGCCCTGGGCGAGCGGAGCAGGTGGCGCCTGGCATGACCTCCCGCCCATCACCATGGACGCCCTGGACTACGCGCTGGCATCATATGTGGAGGGCACAGGCCTTGGGTGGGACCGCCTGCGCCCACGGCAGCTTCGGTGGCTGCCGCGCCACTACCGGCAGGCGCTCCTGGACATCGTGAAAGCCTGGGGGAGGCAGCCGACGAGATGCTCGCTGTGGATGCTGTTGGTGGCCTTCCGGCTGAAGCCCCCGCCCGGAGGTGTGCGGCCCATCATCTTGCCCAGCCTACTGATGCAGTTTGGGGGTGTATGATCGTCCGACCGCTCCTGCGACAAGGCTGGGTTCGTGCGCGACATGATGACAGCCTTCGCGAGGAAGACAGGCATGGTGTCCAGCACCCTGGCGATAGGCCTCACGAAGGACTACGAGATGATCAGCCACGACGAGCGCTACGACCAGGCGGTCGCGACGGAGTTCCCCATGGTGCTGCTCGAGCGACCGCCCCCCGCGCAGGGCGATGCTGGGCAGGGGGGTCGGGCCCGCCATCGAGGCCAACGGCGCCGCGGCAGCGGGCGGCTCGTGCGCGGTGGGTGTCGCCAAGCTGCTGACCTACACCCTGCTGCGCAGCATCGTCAGCTCGTGCACGCTGGTGCGGGCCCAGAGCCTGGTAGACGACTGCCTCCTCCTGGCAGTCAGCGCAGTTCGCCTGGTGGGAAGCCAGCTGCCCCAAGCTGCTCACGACCTCTTCGAGGGGCCACAGCACAGGCGCCTCAAGATCAACTGGGGCAAGACGGGGTGGACGGCCACAGATGCGGAGCTGGCTCAGGAGCTGGGCCGCCACTGGTCTGACCTTGGCCAGGCCAAAGCCTCGGGCACGAGGTGCCTTGGAGGTGACGGCGACGACGGCAGCGAAAGGCGAGTGCCAGAGCAGGACAAGAGGCTCGCCCGAGCCGAGAAGGCAGCAGGCAGGATCGAGCTGCTGCAAGCCGCGGGGGCCAAGACGTGCCACATCTTCCGCGGCGCACCGTGCGCCGCGGCGCGTTGGGGATCGGCCGTCGCTGGCGTCGCGGGCAGTAAGCTGAACGGGCTCAGGGTGCACGCACTCAGAGCCGAGGGCAGGCTGGCCCTTGTTCGGCCATAGGTTATTGCAAGTGAGACGGGAGTTAGCGAACGCAGTTGTTCCGAGATTGACAGGGCGAAGCTTGACTACGTTGCTCGATCTTCGCGCTCAGCAGCGCGACCCTGCATGCAAGATGCCAGTGGAGTGTTTGCGCTTATGGTTGTCATGCTGGACTTCGGCGCCACTGATTCGGCCAGGTATCGCGGGGCCGCGGTAGCAGCTGGCGCAGGAGCTCAGAAGCATGGCTCCAGAGCGACGGCACAGATGCATTCGAGGGCCCCAGGGCACGGTCATCACAGATCTGCTCGAGGCGGGCTGGGACCCCACCAGTCCGTCAGAGTGGCAGATTCCCTCGGATGGCACTGGCATCAACAGTTGGGAGTTGAAGGTCGAGTATCGCACGGGCACCACTAATAGTGATATCCCACGGCAGTTCTTCTCAGAGTTCACGAGTACCATTCAGAGACAATTGTGGTTTGTTGCCTCGTCCCATTTCGATGGAGCAGGGGCGGGGCAGGGAGTTCGCGATGCGTCACATCGCCAGCTGCTTCGCCAACTGGAGGCCGCCCCGGGCGGTGGGCGGTTGGCGGGGCTGTTGCTGGCGTCTGCTGCAGGCGCGTCGTGGCCGCGTACGCGGAGACAGCAGAGGTCCAAGCAGAGTATCTCAGAATGGTGCGCTCGACGCAAAGAGTGCAACGAGATTGTTTCATCGAGTTTGGGGGTGCTCAAGTCGCAAGCCTCACGAGATCTACGCACTCTCGGATGAGTTCGCGGCCAAGGCGTAATCAGTACGAGAGTCAGAGGTGCGTGTTCTGGGTGCGGGGCCTGGTCCCTGCACCGTGGCTGCCGGTGCCAGGGCCGATCCAGGAGGAGGATTGGACTTGCCATGGTGCGTCAGGCTTTGCAGAGGCGCGTTTTCCGGATGGTTCTGAGTCAGCACCCGCCTTCATCTTCGGCGACGCGAGCGGAGGGGAAGATGCACGGGATGCTGCTCTACGCCGTGTTGGGCTGGCGGTGGCTGTGTATTCGGGCCTGGCCAGCGACGCGACGATCGAGATCGGCGCGTGGGGCGGGCTCCCAGGAGCCACCCAGACCGTGGCGCGAGACGAGCTGTGCGCCTTGTACCTCACGGTGCGAGGAGGCTGTGGTCACATCGTGTTCGTCACAGACAACGCTGCTGTGTGTTCAGGCTGGTATAACAGCCTCCCTGTCGCCCCAGCAGGTGAAACGCAGATCTCTGGTTCTTCGTAGGCTCCGTCTTGCTCGAGGCTCTCAGTTGTCAATAACTGTTCTCTTTGTGCACTCTCATCAGGAGACAATGGATATGTGTAACAGTAGGACCCCAGTCCCACTCCTCCTTGGTAATGCCGTGGCCGACGAGTTAGCTGGAATAGCTGCAGGCACGCTGCGCGTGAATCCCACTGTACGTGCACAGATTCATCGCACCGAGCGCATGGCATATTTTGTGATAGTGTGTGATAGTGAGAATATTGTTGAGCACGTTGGACACATTCGACGCCGAGGAAGACCATGAGGACCCGAGGCCCCGTCTGAGGCGCACAGGTCCGCGCCCTCCAGATCCAATGATCTGTAGTATGCTTCGGTTTCCGCATCAACTTAGCGAGTCTGGCCTTAGTTGTGAACGTTGCGAGGGGTCGACCTCACATGCCCAGAAGAAGGCTTGGCTGGACTCTCCATGTTTCCCCCTTTCCACGGGCGATGGTGCAGTTTAAGAACCCCCTTCCAGGGCAGCGGGTGCACGTGGTGTGTGTGTGGGGGGGGATATGCCCATTTGTCGCACCGTCTTAATATCATGCTGGACTGGCAGTTTGGCTCCGCACTGCCTGTGGAATCTCTGCTGCATAACAGCTAGCTGAGTTATCCAAGGAGTGTGATCCTAAGCGTAGTCGTCAAGACTACCGTAATCGAATTCAACAGGGTGTATGGGCCAAACGATATAGCAAGCTGAGCGAGCCAAGCGTGCCGCTGCGGGCAAGCCCGTTTAAGTTTGCTGTTTGGTGTTTTCATTAGTTGCCGACGCAGTCGCAATATCCGTGACTCCGTAACGCCTCCTCCTCCTCCTCCTCTTCCTGCTCCTCCTCCTCTTCTATCCACGGTTACCCTTGCATCCTTCCCCTCTTTGCCCATCATCCAGAGGAGGAACATGTACCCATACGCCTTCCCTTCCCTCGTTTTCTATTCTGGGGGGGGTCTCCTCGTGGCCCTCGTCGCCACCGCTGGACTCTCTTCGAAATTCTGGGCAGAACGCGCCCAAGGAGAGGTCCAGGGAGTGGCGGCATCGGTGCCTGTTGGTTTCCCCAATCATTGGCCGCTTCTTTCATTGGCCGGGCCGCGCTTTCAGAGTGTCGCCGATGGCCTCCCGAGGCCCGTGCATCCTCATAGTGCGTCCTGTTTTTTTCGCGGGTCGACCGCACGATCCCTCAAAACGGAATTCCGCATCCCAGGGGAAGGGTTATGGGCCAATCTTCCACCTCCGCTACCGTATGTGGGACGAGGGAGAAGGGAGGATGGGGAGGTCCTCCTCCTCCTCCTCCTCCTCCTCCTCCTCCTCCTACCTATGGTAGTGGAGGCGGGAAGTCGGCCCATCAAGGGGGACACGAGGCGGATCTTGTACCCCGCCCTCTTTGTGATGGTGCTGTCTCCTCCCCGCGCTCCTCTCCCCCTCGGCTCGGGGCCCTCCCGCGGGGGGGCCCCCCCCCCTTCGGTCCCCGCCGCAGGTCCTTGCGGCTGCGGCGGGAGCCCCACCTCTGCGTGGAGGACTGCTTCGAGCGGCAGGCGTGCCCTCCCCACCCTCCTCCCCGTCTCCCTCCGGAAGGCCGGGGGGCCAGCAGTCCGGAGGCCTCGATCCTATTCCTCCTCCAGCTCCGCCTCTCCCTCCCTCTCCCGATTGTCCGCGGCGCGCTGTTTCGGCCTCCGCTCTCTCCTGTTTCACCCTGCGCATCTACCTATTTGTCCTCCTCCTCGTTGAGAGGGAAACTTTTGTTCAAGATGATGCTGCTGTTGAGGCTGGTGCTGCTGCTGGGGTTGATGAGGAGGAGGATGGTGATGATGATTGTGATCATGACCATGCTCAATATGGTTGTGATGATGATGGTGATGATGAGGAGGAGGAGGAGGAACATCAGGAGGATGAGAGGAGGCATGATATAGGGTGAGGGAGTCGGAGAATAGAGGGAAACTATGACAAGAGGAGGAGGAGACGGAGGAAGAGGAGCATGACAAAGAGGCGGAGTCGGAGGTGGAGGCGGAGGCGGATAAGGAGGACGAGGATCTACGATGACCAGGAGGAGGCGGAGATGGAGGAGGAGGAGGAGGAGGAGGAGGCGGGGGTGCGTGGAGGACTGCTTGGAGTGGAGGGAGATCGGGGAGAGGGAAGAGGATCTAGGTTTCGGGATTTCTTCGTCCATGTTGGTCCGCCAGAGGTGTCTTTCCCCCCCACACGCAACCACACACCAACACACAAACACACGCACACACGCACACGCACACGCACGCACACGCACAAACACACCCATACGCACACGCACACGCATTCGCGCCTGGGCACGCACACGCACACGCACACGCACGCGCGCACGCACACGCACACGCCGACGGACACGCCCCCCTCCCGCCACATCCTTGTTCCTTATTATTATATACCCCCACCTACCTCGTATTCTGGCCGGTAGCAACCCAATCCGGGACCTCCCATCCGGACTGTAACAAATCAATGCAAAGTGGCAGTTTTTCTTCTCAACATCGTCTTTCTTGTCGTCGACGATGCGAAGCATGTGGCAGCAATGGGACGCGGCGCGCATCGCGCGCGGCAGTCAATCTGGGCCCGCCCATCCTGACTGTAAACTTACCCTGGCGACGTACCCAACCCCTGCGCAAAAGCGGGGCGCAAATAGTTTAGGATACTTTATATAAGGGGGCGATGACGGAGCGAGGGTTACATATGTCTGCAGACGGAATTCGGGAGACTCGCAGGACACTGGCTACAGGAAAAGGGCTTGATAAAGCTGATGATTTACAATTCCTGAGCACTCCTAGCCACTTCGAAAACGGGGATCACAGCAGGCCTCGAAAGTGGCGACAGGTTCACAGATCGCAGCCCCGCAGGGATGGCGAGGTCTCATTTGAATCTGCCGTGGCCCTCACTGTGCTGGGCCCCCCAGCAGGCCTCGAAAATGGCGACAGTTTCACAGATCGCAGCCCCCCAGGGATGGCGAGGTCTAATTTGAATCCGCGCGTGGCCCTCATTGTGCTGGGCCCCCCAGCAGGCCTCGAAAATGGCGACAGTTTCGCAGATCGCAGCCCCCCAGGGATGGCGAGGTCTAATTTGAATCAGCGCGTGGCCCTCACGGTGCTGGGCCCCCCAGCAGGCCTCGAAAATGGCGACAGTTTCGCAGATCGCAGCCCCCCAGGGATGGCGAGGTCTAATTTGAATCCGCGCGTGGCCCTCA